GATTACAGTTATCCATTTACTTTCTTATTAATTTAATTATTTTTTTTATTTTTATAATTGTACAAATTTTATGTTTTAGTCCCTACACATAATTTTAATTGTACAATACTATTTTTATAGTTTAAATTTAAAGAGATTAACATAAATTAATCTTAGTTTATTTCAATTTCAATTACTTATATTCTTATATATTTTTTATTCATTGCAGCGATGGATACCAAATGTGGTATGTCATTTTCAAATGATATAATGGGATCGTGTGGAGACAAATAAGATTAGGATAATAACTTTAATTGTAGAATTGTCTTATGAACTTTTATTTTTTTTATATTTGAACATTTTAGTAATTGATGTAATTATTTTGTTATGGTGATTTATCAATGAAATAAAATATTTTTTTTACTGTCATGACTATTTTATATATTTTAAATTGTTTCATTATTGAATTTTTTATTGAATTGTGAAATTATAAATATAATTAGATAATAATAAATAATAAAATATTTAAATAACCGCAGTTAATAATATGTATTTTATTTAAAAGTTAATTATATTAATAACTTATAAATATAGTAATATAATGTGAATAAAAACATTCAATGCACAAATGTTTTCAGTGGGATTTGTTTATCAATAAAAGTACCATGTTACTCTTAATTATCATTATTTATTATTTAAAATGTCACTTTATAAAAAATATATAAAATAGTAGGTGTAGATAGCCTTAAACCCTTATATTATACTTTGTTATGATAAGGTTTATTACATTTTCAGAAATCAGTAGCGGTTAAAAAATACTGCAATATATAAAAATAATTATTATAACTTAGACTATTTTTTTTACTTATTATAAAACTTAATTTTAAGATTACTTCCATGTGAATATGTATGTTTTAAATACTATTAACTAACATATATATCCTAACTTTTATTTAGTTGTCTTTTAAAATTATATATATATTTATTTAATTTTATCTAAATCTCATTTTAAAAACATAAAATAATATTTTTTTGAATATTTATAGATATCTTTTAATATTGATGATTATAAAAAAATTTACAAATATTTTTTAAACCAACAAATAATAAGGCCGAGTAACGGAACATATTATATTTAGTGTGGGTTAAATATGTTTTTAGTCCCTAAACTATTGGTCATTTCTGGTTTTCGTCCCTCTTTCAAAGTAAGGTACAATTTGGTTCTCATTTTTTTCGAAACGTTCGTTTTAGTCCTCGGAATTTTGGTTTTAGTCCTCATTTGTTGCTAAATGAGGACCAAATTTTTAAGAAAAGAATGAAGACCAAATTGTACCTTACTTTGAAAGAGGGACGAAAACCAGAAACGACCAATAGTTTAGGGACTAAAAACATATTTAACCCTATTTAGTGTCAGTCGAATACGAGAAAAAATTATCCGTACTCAACCTTAGTCCTAATATCAATACAAAACCATATTAACTCTTATTGGTAAATAAATTTTAAATTATTTCATAAAAATATAAGAGTACAATAAATTGAAATATAAAGTGAGTTTTTAAAAGAAAAAATATTGTACCGCTATAGAGTTACAGAGTTGTCTAATAGCACATGCAAAATATCTACTATAACATTATGAATTATCTGGTTAGGAAAAAGAAACTGAAATGATCTTTTAAGTTATTTATGTATATATACATTAATATAATATTTGATTTAATATAATTTTTCTTGGTCTACTCACAACTTCTTCTTTTTTTTATATTTTGTAATTAAGAAATGATGTAAAGATAATGTAAAAGCTAACAACATCTTATGTGATTTATTAACCTCATAATTACATAGTACTATATGAATGAGATGTATAAAATTAACAAACACTTGAATAGAAAAATATTTTTCTTTTATTGTAACATCCAAGATCTCACATTTCAAAATTCATAATTTATATATTGTAATATTACAATAACATCCCTTGATCTCACACTTAAAAATTCATAGTTGATTTATTTCTATACATGTTTTAAACTCATATTTCAACTACAAAATTATAACTTGAGTTCTTCTACTTTATTCTTCTGTCTTTCTCTTTATTGGCACTGAGTCAGACGACATTCCTTCATTTGCTCCCGTATAACGAATTATACTATCATCGCACATACCCAAACACAAACACAAACAAGTAGGGTGAGTTAACATGCAACCAATCATTTATAAAACGTGCATATTTACTTTGATGCACTCAACAAACCTCATATAATAATTATGTCAGACACACTCATACCATCATACAATCGCATCATAGATACTCATCCATTACGTTGATACGCTCAATAGACACTCCTTCCACAATACCCAATAGACACTCATTCCACAATACTCAATGGACACCCATTCCATAATACCCAATAAACACTCATTTCCACGATACACCATAGACACTTATTCCAATGATATGTCGATTGAGACTGGATGATTATTAGAGTATCAGGATAACCTCCAACTCAGGACCCTCAACATCAACATATACACACATACCATGGCATTACAGAATCTCTCCGCGAGACTCATACCATGCTCACATTCCTCAACTCATATTATACCCTTACGAAATATCCCCATAATTAATACTCATACCATGTTCATATGTATAAATTCAAATCCAATATAATAAATTACAATCATCACAGAAATTATACAAAATGAATATATCACAAAATAAATTAACAATACTAAAATATCACCATAAATGGTCACCGGAGAAGAATCAAATGTTTGACGAATCAAACACACCATAAACGCCAGCACATATGACTAGTCACAACTTACTGGATTTGACCAGGGCTGCTCTATGATCAGGGATGTACCAACTCCGGTTTTTTAAGATTCTTCTATCCTACCATCACAATTATAATTCATAATTCCATATCTACCACAATAACATCAATTCAATAGAAATTTTCATTCCAACAAGATATATTGCACAATAATTTAACAGTACATAATCTGTTCAATAGGATTTAAGTTAAAAACTTGTCGAGTAGACTTCCAAGAAAGAGAGGTGCGTCACAATGGACAACTTAAGTACTAAGTCTTTCCTTAGCCAAAGTGTTTCTTAGCCAAAGTGTTCCTCAACTAGTTTTTAACAAATTTCTTATTTACAGATTCAAAACAAGAACATATAATATTAACACAGAAATTCAATATAGATAGATATACAGTAAGCATTAACAGTATTCACATAGAATTTCAAGGCATGAATAGTAATAAAACCATACTAAATCATAATATAAAATCTTAGAAAGGTTAGCTCCCTTACCTCTATTCCAGATTCTCTTGTTCCGAATTTGTTTTCCCGAAAACCCTCCAGAGCCTCTACTCTTCTTGCAACTAAAAATTTCTTCCTAACTCTTTATTCTCTTTGTGCAAAATAGTCTCCCCTCTCATGGCTATTTATAGTCCAAAATTTTTACTATTCATCCATTTTTTTAATATTATTTATTATTTTAATATTATTTTATTATATTAATATCTTAATCACCACTTACATAATGGATTCCTCAATAATGCCTTGAAATCTGAAGTGTTTTATCCACTATCAATATTTTAATTTTTTTTTTATTTTTTTAATTTTTTTTAATTTCTTTTTTAACAAAAAAGTAGAAAAGGGCTTGAACCCATGTTCTTGAAATCACCACAATTTTCTACCATTTAAGCTACCAAAATTTCTATATTTAACTTATTAATTATATTTTTCATTCACAAAGAAATTTATTACTACTAGTAATAAAATTGTTACAATTAAGGTAAATATTTTTCATGGATCTTACATTTATCATATTTTTAAAATATAATCTTATATATTATATTGATAATTATGTATTAGGAGATTTTATTTAGTTTTTTTAAAATACATATGTAAGGTTCTTTATTTGTTTTTCTTATCTTTCTTTTCAATCATTTTTTTATATTTAATTAAAATAAAAATGTAATATTTTGAAAATAAATTATTAATAGTTAAAACAATACTGTTTCAAAATATATTTTTTTATTATAAATATGAAACATAATTTATATGTTTAAAATATTTTAACATAGCTTTTAATTACAATATAAATGTATATTTAAATACATTTTATTTTAAAGTTTTAGTTTTCTAAAACAAATTCCATCATGTGCATTACTAAGCCTAGAATACTAGTTATATATCATTCAATTTTTCTATATATAGTTTTAGTAGTTGTTTCAATTAAAATCGTTTTTTCAAATATTAAATTTGTTAACCAAATCCTTTTTATCAGTATTTTATGTTTATTTTAAATAAAATAAAAATAGAAACTTATTTTGCTAAAGTTAAAGGTAAAAAAATATAAAACATGGGATTATAAAATAAAAAATTATATATTGAAACCTAAACTAAAGAATTAAAATAATAAATTTAGTTATGCTTCTAGTTACTATGGACTAATTTTACTTTTGCTTCTTGTATTTTTTTTATTTCATTCCTTACAAAAAATAATGTAATTGATTTCAATTTTCATAGAATTTTTATATTTTAAAATTTCTTTTCCCTAATTTTAATTCTTTAAAATCTAACATTAATACCTTTGGCATGTGAAGTTTTGTAGATGGAAAAAAATTGCTTTAGAATTTATTTATTTTTTAAGTATGAGATGTTTAAATTACACCTCAAGCCATGAATATTATAGAGATAGTATACAAAATTTCAGTCAGTTTCTTGAGAAATAAAACAGAAAATCTGTTACAAAAAGGATAGAATCACTAATTTTATAGGACTTGAAAACATATTTATGTAGCATAAAAAAATAGAGAAATAACTAAACAATGAAAAATTTAAATATTAGAGAGAACAATAATAAAATTTATTTTTGTAGAATAATGTTTTATTTTTATTTTTTTACATAAAATTTCTTTACAGTCTTTTATCCATTGAAGAAGATGAAGAAAAAAAAATTAGAAGTTTACTTAATTGTTAATAGGGACATAATGGGAAATAAGAAAGATGGAACCTAAAGAGCTGAAAACCCTAGTTATATATTAGGTCTCTGGTCTGAGCTTTTGCGCCTCTCGTATGCTCAAACCCTAATCCCAAACTCAGGAGGAAATCAGAGTAATTCAGAAAGTGGGTTTTCCTTCTTTCGCACCTAATTTAATTTTGCACGTGTTGTGTTGTGTTACGTTGTCGATCTGTGTCACTAACAAATGTAATGTGTTGTGTGATTTTGAATTCAGATATGAAGGTTGTGGGTGCTTATTTGCTTGCAGTTTTGGGAGGGAACCCAACTCCTTCTGCAAGTGATATCAAAAATATCCTTGGCGCAGGTATTTCCTCAATCTTAATATTATTTTCTTTTTGCTTTTTCACTATTTTTCACAATTTTTCATTTGCCTTAGTTTTATGTTTTATTTTCATCTACGACAGTGTTTCTTGTTAATATTATTGCTTGTTTAATTGTCGTTATTGGGATTGATTTTTTTTGGATGGTTGAATCCAGTACCTTATTGTAGTTTTTTCTCTTTCTCGCTAGATTTCTGAAGTGGATTTGTATGTAACAAATTTCTTTATTCAATTCTAGAATGTTGCTAAAGGGTTTTTCTCTTTCGATTGTAAGGTTTGAGTTTTTTGGTTTGTAGAACTAATTATCAGAATACTGAAATCATACTATGAAGATGCAATGTCTCAATATTTGTGATGAATAGTAGAATGTTGAGGGAAGATTTTTTTTTTTTTTTT